CCCAGCTGAATAAGCTAGTGCATGGCTCATTCCTGCTATGTCCCCTGACTTGAGGTCTATTGAAAAAGGACAGGGAAATGAGCATGACATGCTTCAGTGGCAAGGCCCTATCCCATTCACCATATGGGATGAATCGTACTGATGAACTGCCAATTTGACATGAAACGAAACACTGTGAGAAACTTTCCTGCCCTCTTAAAATTGTTGTTTTATATACACCATGATTGGATCACACTCAGCAGTTACAGTAGTACCTGTTCCAGCATCCCTGGGGATGGATCAGCAATCATGATGTTGAGTTTGCAAACAACATATCTCAGGTGGATGATGAATCAGATTGCTGATCTGGCACCCTCCAACACTGGATACTAAATTCTGATTGTTAGCAGACCCAATCCACAACGCATTTTGGAACAAACCTAATTTGGCAAACTTACTTCCCAACTGAATAATCCGAATCATCAAAAACTCTTGAAGCATGCTTCCATGGCAAGCCCCCTTAGAGCTTTAAAATGCCACTGTGTACAAATGAAGAGCAGGTGGGAAAAACAAGCAGTTATACCTTTTTTACAATCACACTCAAGCACAGCTTCTATTTAAATGTAACAGCACACAGGCTTGTCCTGATGCTGATCTGGGCCTGCAATAATGGCTCAGCAATTACAAACAAATGTGCATTTGATGGCTTGAAATTCCAGAATCTCACATGCAATGCTAATAACACAAATTCTCAAAGATGCTGCAATTTCACTGGCCCTAATTCTACATGACATAGTCTGCCGAGTAATGGTCAGCTGAGTAATAACAATAGCTGGAATACACTTTGCCCAGACAACATGTCTGGCTGTACAAATGGAAACGTCTTTTGCAAAATTTGGTTGAGCCAAACATGAAACTTAATTGTTCTCCTGACCCACAGTGCTCATTCTGCAAACATCAAAATAACTCCAGATACTGTTTTAATAGCTGGATGGCTGTGGTTTTTTGGCACTGGTATGTATAAAAGTATATCACCACAGTGGGTTGCTACTTAATCACATAACTACAGAATTATAATCACAGAACGGTTTGGGTTAGAAGGGGCCTTAAAGCCCACCCAGTTCCAACCCTCTGCCATGGGCAGGGTTACTGCCCACTAGCTCACACTGCCCAGGGCCCCATTCAACCTGGCTTTGAACACCCCAGGGATGGGGCACGACAGCTTCTCTCAACAGCCCATGCCACTGCTTCACCATCCTCGGACTAAAGAATTTCCTTCTAATATAGAATCTAAATCTCCCCTTTTTTTAGATTAAAACCATTCTCTCTAGACATATCACTAACAGACCATGTAAAAAGTCTGTCCCCCTCCTTTTTATAAGCTCCCTTTAGTTACTGGAAGGCCATAATGATGTCTCACTGAAGCTTTCTCTTTTCCAGGATTAACAAGCTCAGCTCCCTCAGTCTTCCATTGTATAAGAGGTGCTCCAGTCCTCTGAGCATCTTTGTGGCCCTCCTCTGGACCCGCTCCAGCAGCTCCACATCTTTCTTGTGCTGAGGGCTCCAGACTTGGACAGAATATGCCAGGTGAAGAGAGGGACGATCACCTCCCATAGCTCTGTTGACCACTTTTGATGCAGCCCAGAATACAGTTGGCCTTCTGGCCTGCAGCTGTTGGCTCATGTCCAGCTTTTCATCCACCAGAACCTCCAAGTCCTTTTCCACTGGGCTGCTCTCAATGAATACTTCCAGTGTGCACACATTATCTGGGGTTGCCCCGACCCAAGTGCAAAACTCTGTACACACAAGCCCACTTTTCAAGCTTGTCCAGGTCCCTTTCGATGGCACAGTACCATAACACACCTCAAGCCTTATGCATTTCAATCAAAATAACTGTCACTTATTTTTCCAAACACCCGATACCCAGTATATCATAAGCACAGAATATCCAACCCCTTAGCAACAAGATCAACTGCATTTCATAAGGCTGTATGCTTACTGCTTCTAAACTTGGGTGCTGCTGAACTGAAATGAGCTATTGATAACACCTCTGCTGTACTCAAAATTACCCAAAATACAACCATAGATGCTTTAACAAACCCACAGATGGAGCTCACTTTCACAATTTGCAATTCGAAATCGTGAGGCCTTAGGCCATCTTTTAGCTTCACAATGAGGAGTTGCTGCATTCACACCACTTGTTGCTTTTTAAGAGGTTGAATATGATGTGAATGCTATTCATCAGCACATCCTTGTTTGTTACCAAACTATGCAAGGACAGCCCTTGCTCAAGGGTCTGTCTACCAATTGGGCCAGACCTCAGAGTGTAGGGATGGTGTGCCTTACTGATAGTAATAAATAAAATAAAATAAAATAGCTTTTATTTTAATTGTAGGCTCTACTCTTTTCTGTAACGTATCTTGTACCAGATTACTGTGTGTTTCCCTCCTTTCTAAATCGATCATGTGTGCTTTACCTTCCAAACCATCCCAGAAGCTCCAGCATTGCTCCCAAATGGCCATAAGTTTCCTCCACCTCAGGCACTAGGTGGCAAGAAAGACAAAGCAAGTACAGCACAGACTCACTCCTAAGAAGTGAGAGCTGGCTGCAGGCCAAAGGCATGGATGGGTTGTGTCTTTACTATGCTGAATTCTATAAGGGCAGCCCCCACCAGTTGCCTGAATGGTGGTTCTCTCCACCCAGCTTCAGTAATACAAAACAGGCCTGGCTTTTGCCCAAGATGGATGTGCTGAATGTTCTCCTCTGTTTCTCCTGTTCCTTTTTACTCCCTTAGCAGATGAAGCTTTGTTGGGACATCGGTGGACTTGTGAGGTGATGACATTAACTCCAGAACCCTGCAAAACACCACAGCCCTGATACAGATCTGCTCTGAGGTGAGGCTCTGTCCATCGCTTTTGCTTGGTGACGATTGCTGACATTACACCTGTTTCCAAGTGAAGTCACCACCCAAAATAAGATCTGTGGATCTGTTCTGGAAACTGAGTTACCAACAAAGTAAGGGGTTTAATATGTTTGTTTGGGGCAGGAGTGCCTGAGAAAGACAACCCCAGATAAGTGCAGAGAAAAGGATCTGAAAGAAGACGCAGCAAGCAGAAGACTTTCACATGCATGGGAAGTGCATGCTGTGAGGAGCTAAATGATAGCATATGAGGATAGGAGGAGCTTGAACAGTGTTCCCAACCTCTCCTGACAGCACATAGTCTAGAGACCTTGATGCAAACCCCAGCAGTGTAAATGGTAAGATTACTCCATGCTGTACACTACTGATGTGGTCTCATCCCCACATGGAACAGCTACATTTGTGTGGTTTTATGTGCTAGCTGCAACTGGCAGGCAGCACCTTGCCTCTGTGGTTATGACCAAATAAAAAAATTAGATGGATAAGGAATTACACATAAGAACTTGCCAAAGTATGGGTTGATATCAAAAGAAAAGCAAACCAGCAGCTAATTGAGCTAATTGCAGCTGAATCCACTCCCTTCCTCCTTAGGCTTTTCTTTCATGCTTCTCTGCCCCTGCCATGCCCAGCCCTGAAAGCTTGAGCACCGTGAAGTGAATTCTTATTTGTTTGGCTTCCAGAACTGGTTTTGCTCCTCTGCAGAGTGAGACAGACACAAAGAGTGGCACAAAGAGAGATGCTGCAAGAAGCAGCAGTCAGGTGGTGGTGCACTGTTACAGCGGCACCTCACTTAGTTCAGCGGCATCACCAAATTGCATCCCGAGGCTTCACAGTCCCCAGCTGCTGAACCTGGCCCTGTGAGACTACTGACTTCTTTGGAAACGCTGTCTGCTGGAAGCTGCCAATGCCTTGAGAGCCAGCGGGAATCCAGTGAGAAGGGAAATGTGGGTAACAGCCATAAGCTGCACACCTGCAATCAACTCAGGGCAGTCAGGTTGCTATTCACCTGATATCTGACCCTCAAGAATGAGTACTGCTTTTATGCTGACAGATGATGAACATGAGAACAGAAGGGTGTTCATGTTGACTTCCCAGTCATCGGTTCTCCCACAGAACCAGTGCCTGCAGACACAGCTGGAATTTATGCAAGAGACATAAAAATGGGGAAACCAGGCTCCTAAGATTTGCGCTTCTGGCTTTCATGATAACAAAAATAGTGCAAAGCTGGCAAAGCTCGGCAGAAGCTGGGCTGGGATGCAGGCAGGATGCAGAAACATCCGGCGTGTGCAGAGCAGCCCCTCATGCATTGGGAAACAACGTGCTGGTTTAGATCACTCTTAGTCAACGCTGTGGGACTCACCATCTTTCAACTTCCGAGCTTTTAGGTCACTAGGTATAGGAATTACTCATTTCTTCACAACTGCTTCGCCAGGGCTCTGTCTCCCTACTACCACAGCAAACATCCCCACAGCCCTCTTGTGAGGCTCCATCCCTCTTCTCCAGCCCTCCCTCCAGACTTAGACCTGCTCAAAGCCCAGCGCTTTCCAGGTCAGCTCTGTCAGTTCACGAAGGCCGTCCGAGCTCCCCCGTCACCACTCTGTTGCTTCTCCCCCTAGGTCCGGGCTAGCCGCACCCCGCCCGAGCCTTCCTTTGCTCCTCAACTTCCCACCGCGCCGCTGCCCGGCGGCGGACCCGGCTGTCGGTTCGTCCTTCTCGGGTTGCACAGCGCCTTGCAGCCCGCACGACATGCGGGCACCGTGCGCGCAGCCCCTTCGGAAAGCGATGCCCGCTTGTAGCACGGACGGATAGCAGGGAACCGCCCTGCAGCGCGGCGGGGGCAGGCAGACCTCTTCGCCCGGGCTCTCCGCAGCACTACGAGCGGGCAGACTGCGAGCTCCAAGCAGAGCGGCTCCAGCCCCCGGGCAAAGCTACGACGAAGACGGACGCGCTAAGCCCATGGAAAAATCCACCGCGGGGAAAAAAAAAAAAAAAAGAAAAAAAAATCTCGAATTCCCCCCGTCGCGCCAGGCGGGTCGGGGCCGCCGACCCCGGGGGCAGCCCCACGTCCCGTCCCCCCGCGATCCCCCCGCGCCCCGCTCACCTCCGCGCCCTCCGGCAGCGCCTCGGGGCCGGGTCGGGACCGGGACCGCACTCGGACCCGGGCCGGGTCCCCCAGCCACCGGCCCGGGCAGCGCCGCCCCCGCCCCGCCCGCAGGCCGGGGCCGCCTCCAGGAGGAGCGGAGCAAAGTGGAGCCGCACCGTCGTGGAAGGATCGCGGCCGATTTGTTCAGCTCCGTGTTGGGATGTCGGCCGGCTGCGGTGAAAGGGACCGGGATGCAGAGCCACGGCCCCGCGCTGCGGGGAGAAAGAAGTCATAGAAGCATTAAGGTTGGAAAAGACCTCTAAGATTGTCTAGTCCAACCGTCTGCCTACCACCAATACTGCCCACTAACCATGTCCCTGAGTACTGCTTTTACCCTTTCCTTAAACACCTCCAGGGACAGTGACACCTCCCCGGGCAGCCCATTCCAGTGCCTGACCACTCTTTCAGAGAAGAAATTTTTCCTAATATCCAATCTGAACCTTCCCTGGTGCAACTTGAGGCCGTTTCCTCTCGCTGTTACCCAGGAGAAGAAGCCGATGCCCACATCACCACTACCTCATTCCAAGGAGTTGGAGAGAGCAATGTGGTCTCCCCTGAGTCTCCTCCCGTCTGAACAATCCCTCTTCCCTCAGCCACTCCTCGTAAGATTTGTGCTCCAAACCCCTCACCAGCTTCACTGCTCTTCTCTGGACACACTCCAGGGCCTCAGTGTCTTTCTTATAATGAGGGCCCAAAACTGAACACAGTACTAAAGGAAGGAAGGGATCACCCCAGCCCCCCTGCTGCAAAGGGCAGGGATCACAAAGCTGCACAGCCAACCACATGTGAGGCTGTAAAATTAACTAAAAAAAAAAAAAAAAGGAGAAAAGGAAAAAAAAGAGAGAGAATGGCAGCTTACCTGATGAGTGTTTTGCATATTGCAAAACAGGAGAGCTTTATACCTGCCCTGAAGTGGGAGAAAATTCTGCTTGAATCATTCTTGGCAAATGACTGCTTCACAGGTTCTCAATGAGAGTGGATAAAAGGAAGAGTGGCCCTTAGTTTGGAACAGGACCACCAGCACAGCCATGGGGGGACATCACTGGTGATTTTTGGAAGCGGGTTGGCCAATAAAAGGGGCGATGCAGGCAGAGCTGACCCACCCAAAGCTCAGCCCCAAGCCTGTTAGCCATGCCCCCAGCACTGCTCTTGGTGGCTGGCCTGTCACAGCATGTTGCTGTGTGTTACAGAACAGCACACCCGCGAGAAACATTTCCACAAAAGCAATTTTGACATTCCTTAAACAAAACAAAAACAAAAATGCATTTTCCCAGGAGTGAAGCAATCTGAAACCAATTCTTTTTTTTTTTTTTTTTTTTTTTTCTTTTCCCAGGAATAGCATTAAATTGCTTCTTTCCTAACACCAGGCCTGAATCCAGTTCGAAGGTAAAGTGGATTCCAAGTTATTTTGCACTGCCAGAGCCACCACCAATGCTCTACCTCCCTTGGCTGCCCCAAGGCCAACACTCAGAGGACAAGGACACAGTGCACTCGGGGGGAACCCTACGGTGCTGGCCCTAGTGCACATGGCAAAATGAGAGTGGGGCCACTTGTTGTGGGAAGCTCACAGGCAGAACTCACCTGTGTGAGCGTGTGGGACTGTGGGACCCTCAGTAGTTCCCTTTGACTCTACAAAGGGCCTGTGGCTTGCTTAGCCAGATCCCCAGGCAAAGGAAGGAATGGGCCATCTCTGCTAGCAGGCGCTCACCCCTCAAAGTGGAGCCGCCGGAACAAACAGTGTTGGCAGATACGGAAAATCCCTTTTAGAAGCATTAGCGCGGTGCTCTCAGGGCGGTATCGCTTTTATCGATGGGAACTTGCCAAATCGATGCTGCCAATTGAATCAGCTGCGGTTCCAAGCAGTGTGTCCAGCAGATGGGTTAGAAATGAAAACATGATAAGAGAAGAGCGGGAACAGCACAATGCCTCCAGGAGAAGACAGAACCTCTGCTGCGTAATCTTAAACCAGGGGGAGTTCTGCTGCTGTGGGAATATAGCCTCCAGCTGAATTAAGGGCCAGAACCCTCTGGCTGGCTGAAAAACGGTCCAAACACGTCTCTGCTTCATGCTCCCCTCCTGAGGCTCACTCAGGCCAGCAATAAACATGAACAACCGCACCGCGGCTGTGCTTGGCTGCGGGGAGCTGCAGGAGGAGCACTGGGCTGTGTGCAACACGCGGATGCTTTCCTTTCCAGAATTCCCAGGGAAATTCTGCAGCTGGTAGCAATGGTCCAGAGCCCCACAACCACTGTGCATCCACCAGGACCAGCAGGAGGGGTGCATCCCACTGCTGTTGCCAGCCTCCAGCACTCCCCTGCGCCTGCTCACGTCCATCACCCACTGGGCATCTCTGTCCCCGTATCAAGAGAGCAGCTGCACGCAGTAAAACATCCGTGTGTCTCACAGCTCAAACTATAGTGGAATTAAGATGGAATTAATGTGTCATATAATGAGGGCAGCACCTCACAGTAGGTTGTGCTCCTACTCTTACAGGAACGAAGGCCACCAATGAAGCCTTTTGTTTGATACGGTCTTTAAGGTTATTTGTTGATTTAAATATTACACTCAAAATGTAAATTACTCTTTAGTCTGAGGCTATTAAGGAGTAAAACTCATTTGGAACTCTGTATGTATATGGATGCAAAAGGTCCATTTTCAACAGTCAGCCCAGCTTATCATTGATCTGCTGCTGCTGCAGGTCCCAATGCACCTTCCAGAAAGAGGATGGTCAGTTGCACATGCTGGGGCTTTAGTGCATCATTACAAAGTTTCTTGTTGATGCTGATGCAACACGAAAAGGATATTTGCCATGCTGAACACCACAGGATATCTGGCACTTGTCAGGATTGATTCCTAATGAGCTGCCTCCTTTTCCCACTGGCAGCATCACTGCTCTGTTATGCTGATCACAGAATCACAAAACTGTAGGGGTTAGAAGGGGCCTCTGGAGAACATCAAGTCCAACCCTGCTAAAGCAGGTTTCCTACAGTAGGTTACACAGGAAAGCATCCAGGAGGGTTTAGAATATCTCCAGAGAAAGAGATTCTACAGCCTCTCTGGGCAGCCCATTTCAATGCTCCATCACCCTCACACTAAAGTTCTTCCTTGATGCACAGGTTTGGGGCCTTGGCCCTAAAGACCATTGGGCACTGAAGGAGTGACCCTGCCATGTGCTAGCAGTGCCACGTGAGCCAGAGCACCACACTGCCTGCACCAGGCAGAACTGACCTGCTCCAGTGTAATGGGGCATGTCAGCATGACTGAAAGACCCACCGAAATGCCAGAGAGAGCACTGTTATGGAAGGCTGTCACGGTTTAGGCCTGTTTTCCTCCCCCCGAGGCAACCAATGCCATCAAAGAGCCCTTATCAAGTTTAAGGTATTTAACTAGGCAAACAGAGTCATTTTCTTCCTACACAGAACTGATCACCTTGATGGAGGTTTTCCTGGTATCCAGCAGGCTATGGCCAGCTGCTTGGGATTAGGGACCATTTGCTGCCGCTCATCCTCCCCTAGAGGTTTAGTGGTGCTGGAGGAAGAGGAATGATCCCTCCAGCCCATTGCTGCCTCTGCCTTGCTTGTCTCCCAGAGCCTCGCCTGGGGCCTGGCCACCAGCAAGCACTGCTGGTTGGGTTTTCCATGCCTTCAGAGCAGGTGAAGTTCAAAGCAGATTTCTCATGTCGCAATTCCCATTTCCCAGCTCCCTCATTTTGGGCACAGAGCATTGCTCTGACACATGCTGGCTCTGAGTGCTGGATGCCAGCAGAACATCCATATCCCAGAAGCCATGGGAGGGCTTCAGCCACCTGGGGAGACCTGCCCCAGAAATGGCCCCAAACCATTGCAGGCAGCAGCTCACCACGGCCAGGAGCTTCACGGCCCTGGGGCCAAGGTCAGTGGTTGTCACACTGGACTGGGCAGGACATTCCTTCCAAGGGTCACAAAAAAAACATGGTATGCTTTGAGGCGTGACAGGAGCTCTACATGCCTTCCTTCTGTAGAACTTCCTCTTGCAGCAAGTTTAAAAGCTGAAAATACCATAATCAGGAACAGTAGCAGTTTTCAGCTTTTCATCCCTCTCCCCCGCACCCTCACAAATCCTCTCCACACCTGTAAGGAAAAGCAGTTTTCTGAATTAAAATGAGGACTTAAGGTCCTTACTATTTTTATTTTTTTTTCCTTTATTAATGCAGCATGGTTCTGTGGTATGTGGGCTTCAGGGGCTGTTCAGCTGGGGGATTGTGACATTCGTGGGAAGTGGGGACCCACCTCTTTCTGCTGTGTTCTGGAGCAAGAATCAGTGCAAAGTGGCTCTGAAACTACTTGTAAAATGCTGTGCAGGTCCGCAGGCCACGTTTTCTTTCCTTTCCCTGTAATGCCAGGGGAGTATCTTGCCAATGAGCCTGAGGCTGTCTGGAAAATGTCATCCAGCACATTATTTCCCTTGCCAGAGAGATATTTATAGACAGCATAAATCATGTTGTCACGATCAAAACCTGTCAGGGAGGGCCCACGGGAGCAAAGCATCTCCCCCAGCTCTGCAGGATTAGCAGAAAGGGGGACACCAATGACAGCAATTTCCCACCCACCAACTGGGTTTTCCTGCTTCTCCAAGACCCCACCTCACTGCGCTGCCCAAATTCACTATGCTTCACTTTTTTTTCCCCAAGCTGGGATGACCAACTGTTTGTATTTGGACAGTAACTTAATTTCAACTGAGTTTCTCACAAAAAGTGAGCCCCTTCCCCTCATCTGAGCAATTCAACACTTTGAACATAACAGACGTAATGAAACTACGCCTTCATCTTCTGGGAAGCACAATTCTTTGAGTTCTGGCCAGCTCTCGTCACAGGCTGCCTAAATTTATTCATGGAAAAATAAACATGCATTTTCGATAGGCAGACATCTAAATCACCAACACGGTACCAGGTCCCCTGTGACACTCATTAATAGCACTCACTGCAGCCCAGAATGCGATGCTATGGCAACAATCCAAAGGACACACCACTAACGCGTGACAACTAGAGTCTCCCCAAATGCCCATGTTTTGGT